CAATCGATATTGTTTATTCGAATGACTAAATCTGCCAATGCATTACTAAAGAACATCAGAGACCCACACGAACAATGCAAGTGGGCATTGAAACCAGCTATAAATGACATATTTAGAAAGACTCGAGAAGAATTACACATGAACATAAGCTTTTACTTCGGGAGCTTTATGACCTATTTATCTCTGCTCTCTGGATTAACATTATCCATACATGCAGTTCATAGTTTTGGGCCTAAACACGATCGGTAACATTGAGTGCTCTAATCTAGCGCCCGACGCCATGTCGAACATAGAAAGACCGCGGGTGCCAGTAGCCGGAGTAACGGAGTTTACCGAAACGCGTACTTGCAGGAAGAACACAATGGGCAAGTAATACCCTTGTGTCGGTATGCTAGTGATCAGAAAGCGCAACAGTCCAGTCACAGTGAATTNAGTGAATTACGCCTATGAGGACAAATCACAGTTACACGTTATCTGTGTTGGTACAGCATCTGAACGGACGTATGTATTATTCGTGGGTACGTGTCTGTTAACTGCATCCATTATTCGACGGATGGCATGTACCTACGTGTGTTTTCATGTGTACGTGAGTGCCTGGGTTGATGTCAACAGCGACGAGGAAACTGGGTTTCGTAAAGCGGTATAAGTCACCGTCAAATACCAGGTCAATCAAAATATCGGAAAAATGTGGTTCATTTGCCCGTTATCTGTCACGAACACAATTCACAAAATCATTGAAACCGCTTCCCTTAGAAACGCCTGTGCATTTGACGAAAGTGTCTACCAGTTGGGAGTTACAAAGATTTTTACGCCACTTTCTAACTCTTGACTGGTAAAATCGCTTCTTCCCGAAACCATCTTTTCGCCTCTAATCTGATTAGGTCTGTATAGACGCTCCGCAGGTTACATATTTGAAGCAGTTGGCTATCGCTTTAGGGAACTGAGACTTTTGAATTCTTCGCGTGTCTACTGAAAGCTCAAACCTGACGTGTTCAGCCAGACCTAATGCATTTTGTCGCCGTCTGTCAAGTCCGTAATGCAAAAGTTGAGACTTGTGACTTATTTTTCCATATCAGTAAAAGGTAAAAATAAACCGGTCGACTTTTCTTCATTGGCGGCACAGATGACTTGGAGATGGGTTGGTGAGTGGGTTACACTCATACTTTACCATTTGACTCAGTCTCACCAAATTTATACTCCACAATGTTTCCGTTAAAATGAATCAGTTGGTGGATTTGTACGGGTTTCGCTCTACGGTAAAGTGGGAGTTCGTATTTCCCCGCAGAATGTATGTTCCGATGGCCGATACATGCACAGATCCAGCGGAGTCATTATGCAACCTAGCAAGCAGGTGGACTGCAGGTCTACTGGTCTGGTTTTTCAAACAATACCTAAGATCCGCGTCCCCACATCCGAATGTTGCGTAGCGGCCCTTGATCGATGTCAGAAAACTTTCCGAAAAGATAATGTTTTATCGAATAAAAGTGGGAAGATTATTACGTTTATTACTTGCAGTTTTAACATCGTAAAAGTGAATTCGAGTTTTCACTGCATACTCCATTAAATCTGTAGAATTTCTTATCTGCGAAGGTTTGTGGACCTATAACGGAAATCAGCTGGAGCCAGAAAGTAGAGAACGGAACAAGAAAAACCAGTGGAATGAGTAATTTAAACCATTTCCAGTTAGCTAAAAATGCTGCCCGTCCGGAATGTATATAGGCTCCCAGGGACAAAGAAAATCGAACAAGAGTTGGACATTTATTAAAAGGAAGGAAATAATGAGGCTAGCGTTGCAATCAATCACCTCTTTTTGTAGCTTGGACAATGATTGACGCCTTTTATTCAAAGTAGTGATTTCTTCGTTCACGGATTCCAGCTGTTGGGATACAATATCCAATTGAGCTTGCAAGTCTGAAGGAAAAATGGAACACCGATGTAGCTGGTAAGATCAAATAAAAATTATCGAATACATTGATGAAACCAATGCCAATCAAACAATACGATTCAGAACATGTGTACCAAGGAAACAATCGAACAACTCGGAAAATTTTTACCCACTCAAGGCGAGATGCGATCAAACAGCACCAGAGATTGTGATCACTATATATAAACTACTTATTATGGTATATATATATATAGCACTATTCTTTGCTGATACGCAAAACTCTCTATGAGTTGAAGGGGAAATACAGAATCCGGACAAAGCATAAAACAAAAATGTCAATTTGAGGGATAACAACTACTGGCTTTCTTACTGCACATTTTGACCTTTTTGTATATGTTTTAATTTGAGGATTTGATACAGGAAAGGGTGCATATAGGCCGCTGAGTTCGGTTCGATGCCATACCCCATAATATCTCCAGTCGAAGACAATCTGAATCTTTGGAGCCTCAGCCTGGGAAGTCCCAATAGAAGCCAAACAGGAGTACAATCTCTTCAACCCTCTGCGCCACATCACAACCTGCCAAATTCCGTTTCTTCCTGTCTGCAAACAGTGCACGATTGTTTAGGTATTCGTAGGACGTGTCCCAGCCACTTCTGACGGTGGAGTGAGACGGTTTTGCTTAGTGGAAGACTGTCGGACCCCAGCACACATCGTCTGACCTTAAAGTTACTCACGCGGTGCTCCCACCATACACGGGCGATATTGTCTCCGGACCGGAAAGATTGGCATTGCAAGCGGTTTGCACTGCGGTTAGCAAATCACGTAGACAACTTGACACAAACCAGTGCGTGGTCGGATGCCGAGCAGATAGATTAGTACGAACGAGTGTTTCACACAACCTCTTCATCTATAGCTAATAGTTATATGATAAATCTGAGTCCCTCATTGGACCGAAGAAGGATTAGGCCAAGTGGCGACGCGATGCTTTTGCGTCTGAAGTTCGTGCTAACGGGGTGTATTCGTTGCGGGCTATCGTACTATTCGGTCACCCGGGCCGGAGTAGGTCTTGTTAGAGGATGCACTCTAG